AATTCAAAAACATCTACAGAGGATAGAACACAAGGGCAAATCAAATAAGATGAAATGTAACAGTGATAAATGTCAGACACCCCTGCGACCCCTACCCCACACACACACACACACACACACACACACACAGAGTTTTATTTGTTTAGCCTAGGGGCTTTTAACCTTTTTTGTGTGGGTCATGGATCCCTTTGGCAGTCTGGTGATGCCTAGTGAGCTCTTCTCTAAGTAATGATTTAAATGCATAAAATGAAAAGTGCTGAATTACAAAGGAAACCAGTTATTTTGAAATATAGTTATAAAAATATTTTTATTTTTTTGCTTTTTTGGTGAGGCAATCAGGGTTTTAAGTGACTTGCCCAAAGTCACACAGCTAGTAAGTGTCAAGCATCTGAGCCTGGATTTGAATTCAGGTCCTCCTGACTCCAAAGCTGGAGCTCTACCCACTGCGCCACCAAGCTGTCCCTAAAAATATTTTTAAAAAGCAAATTCATGGACTCCAGAGATTTCTGTGGGTATCAGCCACTTCTCATATTACAAAGGGACAGTAATGAGGTACTAAAACCAGTAAGTACAGGGGAATATTCAATGGTATTTAAAAAGCTAATAACAAATCGCCTAGATGGGTTTACTATCCAGTCCTAATCTCTTTCCCAAGCTCCAGCCTCACATTTCCAGTTATCTGGAGGACATTTCAACCTTGATGTCTTGTAGGTATCTCAAACTCAAAATGTTCAAAATGGACTGTTGTCTATCCCATTATTGCCACTTAGGCCTTCATCACCTCTTACTTGGACCAACAGCTTCTTTATTGGTTCCCTGACTTGGGCTCGCCCTGCTGTAACCCATCTTCCACTCAACAGCCAAAATGATTTTCCTAATAAATTTCATTGATTTCCTATTGTTTCTAGTATCAAATAGAAAGTCCTCTGATTGGCATTTAAAGCTCTTCTTAATCTAGCTTCATCCAGTATTCTTATACACAACTCCACTTTACACCAGCCACGTCAGAGCCATCAATCATGGCTGCATGTCAGGTATATTCTTGTTCAATCTGTTTTACATAGTCCAAACAATGAGGGGTGAAATAGGAAAAATAACCAAAAGGAATCAGTCTAAAAAACAATAATACAAGCTAAGTTTACTTTGTGATTAGAGGTAGAGAGATGGGAAAATTCAACTTGCTAGTCAGGAAGCTCATTTTAAAATCTGTAACATTTATCTTCCAAACAATTGCATATCACCCACAGCTTGCATTATCAACTATTTTCAATTGCTAGAGCACTAAAAAGCAATTTAAGGTACAATTTCCAAAACCACCATCCCCAACAACAGTGGGGCTGAAAGGTTTAATATTGACATGTAGCCAGTCGGAAAAGGAGGCAGACAGCTGTAGAAAAAAATATTTATTTGACTACCTATGTGCTCACTAGGGCAGATGGAGTAGGGGGAAAAATTTAAAAATAAACACGAAGATAGGGTGAATGTGCTGGTAAATTTTTTATGCTTCTCTGCAAAGCTGGAAATAGCAAGCAATGTGAAAACAGTCCCATGCTCCCAAACCTCCTAACAGTACTCAAGCAAAGCAAACACAGACCTTGCACTGTGCCCAGAGGGCTGATAAACTTTTGAGTTGGCTCTGCCTTGGCTTTTTTTTTTTTTAAACTTGGTGCTTTTCTTAGCTGTGCTCAGTCTCCCATCCAAAAACAAAAGCTTCTCTCACCCATCCTAGTAACTCACTGAACAGCCACTCTGGGATGCTAGAGGTTTCTTCCTGGCCTCAACACTTCATTTTCAATGTACACTTTTGTCTTCATTTTTCCCACATCCCAAAGCCTTTGGCTTTGTTTTTTCCCTGCTTATCTCTGGTGTTTGGAACTGTCACAGTACAATAACCTATATTTTGTAGGTTGTAAGGAAACCTGTGTGTGTGTGTGTGTGTGTGTGTGTGTGTGTGTGTCTGTCTGTCTGTCTGTCTGTCTAATACTTCCACAACCATTTATTAGATGCTTACTATATGCACTACACTGTGCTATGGTCTGGAGGAGATGCAAAGATGAATAAGACACGACAACTGTCATCAAGGAATTTACAATCTAGTACGAGTCATGAGACACGGAATGAGATAAGTAAAACAAAAATTAGAATGTGTTAATGAGAAGAGAAGAGAGATAAATCACTTCCAAATAGTTCAAGATAGGTTTCATGGAGAATAATGGCTAACATTTATAGAGAGCTTGAAGGTATACAAAGTACTTGAATATGCTATCTCATATGACTTGAGAAGGTTAGGATTGGAGCTAGGTCTTGAAAGATGAGGAATTCAACAGGCTTTGACAGAGGCAGAAGATGAAGGAAAGAAAGCCTGAATTGTGTTTAGAGAATGGTAAATCTACTGTTCAGTCCACCTAGAACAGTGGTATCAAGGGCCACTAAAATCATACCTAAGGATCTATGGGGACAGCACATTGACTTAGTTTTTAAATGCATTGTAATTTATATTTTATTGTGTTTTTAATTATCTTGTTAAATATTTCCCAATTACATTTTAATTTGGTTAGGGCCACACTTAAGGAGTTTATGTTTGACACCTTTGGCCTGGAGCCAGGGTATACAGTTTGAGGTGATGCTACAAAGATAGGTTAGAAGTCAAGCTGTGAAGGGCACTGTAGAGAGGAACTTGGAAAATTTTTTGATCAAGGAGGTGACCTAATAAAAACTGTTTTAGAATTGTTTAGCTTGACAAATGTTTAGGTTAATATGGGAGCGTTATGAAAGACAGGGTTAGGAAAGGCGGGTTGGGGTGGTGAAGGGGCTAGGAGAATGTACCAATAACCTGGGCACAAGGAGGTAAGAGCCTAAACAGGATGGTAGCAGTAGGAGTGGAAAGGAAAGAATGCATTTCAGGTGTGGTTTTGGCACTCCTCCCAAATTAAAAAAAAAAAAAAGAAAGAAAGAAACCTACACTCATAGCTAAATTTCCCATACAAGCAATGTGAGGAGGGAGACGGTGCAAATATAAATAAATGGGAGCAGAATGTGACATCACCACTAAAACCATTCATGAGACATCAGTATGTGGGGCACGAGAGCTAGAAGGCAAAACCTTAAGAGCTATGTCCCTGAAGCCCAATCTCCTTGAGTAATGTTCCACAGAGGGCCCCAAAGTACTAACACACTGAACCAAACAAGACTAATAAGCACAACCCAGCCTCTCTTTTAAATAGTCACTGAAAACAATTCACAGAGGAATTTGCACTGTAGAAAGACTGATCACCAAGACAAAAATACACATTAACTCATTCACAAAAACACAGCTCTTCCTGTGAATGTTTACAACGACAGCTCCTCGGTGGACTGAAACCTGGAAAATACACATTTCCATACACAATGGACAAAAAAATCCAGGAAACTTCACTAAGTAGCTAAACCAAGGAACTGGATTTAATTTATTTTCAACATCAGAAGGAAAATGGCAGTGTTCCAGGCTGCATTTTGAGTAGGTAACTTAAAATGACAAATTATGAGCTCTGGAAGTTCCTGGTGGCAAAAGGGACATCAATTTCACTGCTTATGGTGAAAAGTGGGAAAACCAAGAGTCTCTGTCCTCTATTCAAGATATGTGGATATAAAAGGAAATAAAGAGTCACAAATTTAAGCTACTTCTACCCAATAAAATAGTTAGGGGAGAAAAATCCAGTTTCTTGATGTTCAAGAAAGGAACATGCAAAGTACTTCAATTTATAGAATTCTAAACTACTTACTCTCCTAGACTTCGGTCACAAAAGGCAAATGCATTATCAGGAGAAAAAAATAATAATATTCAGTTATAGGACAAGAATGTAAAACAAAAGATATTAATGCTGAGCTTTATGTTACTACTAAATTAATTACTAGCATATTAACACGAACCTATTTTCTAACAACCATTAGGCACATCTTAAAACAATTCTGATAGTGTAAAGCAAATAGATATATAAAGTTAAAGAATAGCATACTCTTGAAAAGGTGATAGCTTAATGATACCGCACTGGGCTTTATCACAAAAAGTACAAGTCCAGCTAGTACAAGTCCTGAGTTTTGGTATGTTAACATTCAATGATATCACTTTTCACAGGAAATAACAGCTGGAAAGGACCTTAGAACAAGGCCCTCACTTGACAGTTAGGGAAAATAAAGCATAGAAAAATTAAATGACTTGTCTAAGCTTAATGCCAGGAATAAAATGCCAAACCCTAAGCTTAATAGTCTTTCTACCATCCCATGACACCTCCCCTTTAAATGTATTGTTTAGGAGAGACTACAGGTTTCCAGCCATTCTGACTTCTGCCTTGGAAGACACAAATCTGTTTTAAAACCCTTTTTATATTATGTGTTTATATTTCCTATGTGTATAAGGAGAATAAAGATGAAACTACTAACATTTCAGGCCAGAAAATAATCAGCATAAATAAAAAGCCTTTTCCTTGTGTTACAGAAAAGCGAAGTCACCAAGAACAATTCTGGGGCCCACTCCCCATGCAGGTGATACCCAGAAGAGATTTTACAAGATAGTACTAAAGCCATGTCTCAAAGATGGTAAACAGACAAGTCTTACTAGCTTTTTTTTTTCACACTGGACTAAAACTTGGAGTAAACTGAAAGAGCAAACCAGTAATTTTGGTACTGTGCAGCCAAAGACTTGGTGTGCTAACAATCAGGACCTTAAACAGCAGCAGAACTTGATTTTACAATGCTGTTTTAAGAATCCTAGGCTGGTAGAGCTAGGAGGCTGCCTCAAGCTTACCCATTCTAACCTCCTCCAATTTACAGGTGAGAAAACGGAGGCATCAAGAGGGTCAAGGGCCCAATATGCTTAGGTGGTAAATAGCAGAACTAGGATGTGAATCCAGGTTCAATGACCCCAAACCCAGGGATCTTTTCACGTCTATACCACAGTTTCTCAAAGCTATTTAGAAACAAAACAAGAGAACCATAGAGACTACAAAATTAAATCCCCTCACCTCTTTTTGTTCAACCTGGAGTGCTGATTTTAAAATATCTCGTAGCTGTATTAACTGTTTCCTTTCTTCATCCTGGGCCTGTTTGATCTAAATTAGATGGAAAAGGCAAAACCTGGGTTAAAATGAAGAAAGGCAAAAGCCTACAGATCATTATACAAGAAAATTTATTCTTTAATTAGTTAAGATATCCCAAACAACCAAAACAAGGATAGGCAATAAATAGGAATATGAAAGAACTGACAACAATGCTAAGTGGTACTAGAAGAAAATCGCTCAATACAAACAGCATAGCTTTGAAAATAATGTGCTGAATTTATGACATATTCTAAGAAGAAAAAAAGTGAGCTGTATTGAATAGAAATGTGCTATTTCACACGTTATTTTTCGTGTTCTATATTGTATATGGAAATACTCATTTTTTTGTTCAACCCAGACTAATATACAAATAAATTTAAAAAGGGGTTTCTGATTGAACAGTATGGCAACTCAAGAAGGCAGAGTGATAATACTTGAAGTAAAAACATTTCTTTAATAATAAAAACCATTTAAAAACAAGTGTGGGAGGTCACATCTTACTATGTGAAGATCTGTTGAAAGAGTTTCAATGGAGGGTTTGAGGGTTTCAACAGCTTTCAGTCCATCCTGGAAGAAACTTGAAAAAAAAAAAAGACTGATTCACAAGGGAAAAGACAATTTAGTTGGATTTTCAAGGTTAATACAGAAAGGAAAGGAGAAAAAAACCTACCTTAATAGGAAAGGGGCTAAGGTTCTTATAATTACAAGGGAATAAAAAAGATGAAAAGGATCTCAAAAGTTTGAGCAAATGAGAATTAAGTGGCACTTGCAAAATTAGGTTAGGCAAACAAAATCTATTTTCCTGATTTGGAGGAGCTACATCCATTAAGCTTGAAGAGAAAATGGTCTATGCATTTTATTATAATTATTAATATAATATTAACATATTATATATTATTATTATACACCTAAAATGTCTTCTCCACCTGCAACACACAATGGGAAATATGACTCTACAGAAAAAGTAGCTGTGAAGGTTAATAACCAGAGGCTTCTGGTCGGTTGATCCGACACGAAAGAACATAAACCCAAAAAGTATGACTAGAAGGAAAAAGAGGAAGAACTAGGAGACAGGGGAAGGGCTACCAAGTTGAGCCAAAGGAAACAGGAAACTCAGGCTCAGAAAACACTCTAATGTCCAAGTATATTAACCATCTTAAAAAAAAACAACCCAGAAATAATGCTCATAGGTACAGCAATTACAATGAATAGCTCATGAAAAACAAATGTAAACATCTAGGAGTAGGCTATTAAAAATAACAACATGAATTTCTCTCCACCAATGTCCTCTTGCCAATGCTTCATCATGGCATAGAGGTGACACTGAGTTCTCTAAGATGGTGCTAATGGTACACAAACTCTGACACACTCTACATCAAAGCAAAAGAGTACCATCTTGACACGGACTAGCACGTGTATAGTCAGAGGAAAGGCCTCATGACCAAGCTAGCTCGAGGGTGATGAATTTTTGGTCATGCTCACTTACAAGAGCCATATACTAAGGAAGAGGTGGATGGAAGTACTAATCTGCCCCACTGGAAGTAGTCTTCAAGACCAAACAAAATCACAGACCCTTCAACCCTTCAAACGGTAAAGTATTTAAGTGTTATGTTAAAGTGGTGAGAGTACTGGACTCAGAGACAGGAGTTGTTGTTCAGTAGTGTCTGACTCTTTGTGATCCCATTTGGGGTTTCCAAGCAAAGATACTGGAGTGGTTTGCCATTCCTCCAGCTCATTTTACAGATAAGGAAACTAAGGCAAACAGGGTCAAGTGACTTGCCCAGGGTCACATAGCTAGTAAGTGTTTGAGGCCAGATTTGAACTCAGGAAGATAAGTCTTCCTGACTCTAGGCCAAGCACTCTATCTATTACACCACCTAGCTGCCCTCAAAGCCAGGAGACAGGGGTTCAATTCTAGGCTCTGACACTATGAGGACCCAGGACAGATCACTCTAATCCACCTTTGACACAATTTTCTCATTTGTAAAATAGAAATAATAAATCTTTATTACCTGGTTCAAAAGCGTGTTGTGAGAAAAGCAATTTGCAAACTACAACAGGAGGAAGACAATGTTCAGAAGTAGGTGGTGATAGTGGAGATGGTGGTGGTCAGAAGTATGTAGTGATGGTGGAGATGGTGGTGGTCAAAAATATTTTAACCAAAGTTAAGCTACTCAGCATTGGTTCTAAAAAAAAAAATCTGTGCATATCAACTGAAGGGACCAAAAGAAGAAGAATCTTACACAAATTGTTTCTTTATTGGCTCTTGGGGAAACTGTCTTCCAAAGAGGATCTCAGGCATAAGCATTTTTGTGCAGAAGACGTGTATTTCTTTATACTTCCTAACCCTGAATCCAGATACCTCCCTCCACAAATCAGGCACACAAATATATGAGGTTGTGAAAACAAAGAAGCTCAGGAAGGAGAAAAGGAAAAAGAAAATACAGGCTGTGAGTTATAAGCAATCAGCAGCTAATAATTAAAGGCCACAGAGATCAGGCTACTATAAACCTCTCATGTTAATCTTGAGGACTAGAATGTCAAAGGTGCCTAAGTTGGAAAGTGTGTTTCACCCTTTGGCTAGAAGTTCCAAGTTTAAGGGAATTATGGGTATGAGTTAATAACTAACCAATAATAGACCAATTTCAACCTCTGGTAACCCCAGTGCAGAAATATCCCTGGGGAAAGTAGAGCTCCAAGAATCTTTGCAACCTAGCAACCCTCTTGATAGTGAGAAAGTCCTACAAGAATATTATTTGGTAGAGTTAAGTTAAAGTCACTTCCTCAGAATGTTTGTTTTTCTAAAGATGTACTCACTGGAAAAAAAAAAGATGTACTCACTGCCAGAATCAGAAACAAATAGCTTGAGAAAATAATAATTATTAATATTACTTAATAAATATTAATAAAAATAATTATTATAGCAGCAGCTAACACTTAGTACTTACAATGTGCTAAGCACTTCTCAATTACTACCTCATTTGATACTGACAACAACTCTGTGAGGTAGATGTTATCATTTATCCCAGTTTTATAGTTGAGGAAACTGAGGCAGAGATTAAGTGACTTGCCCAAGAACACACAGCTCAATCTGGATTTCAACATCCAGTCTTCTTAACTCCACCACTGTGCCACCTTGCTGTTTCCATTAACAAAGTCATCAGAATGTAGCCTTGATTTTGAATCCCAACTCTTAATACTTACTAGTTATGTAAATACCACTTTCTGCATGATCCTGTCCCTCTACACCAGCTAGTACCTTCTACTTTCCCCCCAAAATTACCTTGGATTTACTTTGTATATGTTTATACATATACCTATTCTTTCCCCCAACAGATTATAAATTCCTTGAGTGACGGTTTATTTCATGTTTGTCTTATTATCCCCAGAGCCTAACACAATCTTTGACACACAGAAGAGACTAAATAAATGCTTATTAATATGTGAAAATTAATACAAGACCAAGTCACTATAACTTTGGTGAATTTCAATTTTATTATCTACAAAATGGAGGTGACCACCAGTTCCTGGTGTGTGCTTACAAAAAGTGTGCTGAACTGAATCATCATTGCCACTCAGAAGTGCCAAGTGTTGTCCAAGCTTCTGGTGGGCTAAACTATTGGTATTATAATCTTTCATCCAAAGAAATATTGCCTTTAACAAACATCATAAACACTAGGTTTTTTTTCTACTCTAAATAGTTCCTGGCCTCCTGAATCAAGTTCTTAGTTCTTCCATTTTTTTGTGTCCTCGGGGTTAATTCTCAAATTTTCCTGAAAATCTATTGCCTCTAAGTAGTTAATTCCTTTTTATTAAAAAAAATTATCACCCATAATTCTAGATTTCTTGAGAAAGCAGACATCCAAACTTTATTAGCAAAGGCCACTGAGTTATATAGTCTAGGATGGTCTGAATATAATTTGGAAGTGTCCCTAAAGACAAAAAAGAGACTATAAATAATGATGATGATGATACTTTACTACTGCTCAGAGCAGAATATCTTCTTCTCAATCTAGCTCTACCCAGTACCTACATTTAAGATTGATATCACATTTATGCACATAAGAAAGGAAGTGCTAAGGGTCACCTTTCTTCTTTTGTAGGATCATTAGGCCCTCTATATTTTGTTTTAAAAGAACAAAAATGTTCAATTCCTGTAGGTGACTTTGGAGAGCATAATGAATACATATGTACACACACACATATATATGTATATGTATATATATACACACACATATATATGTATATGCATATATATGTATGTATATTCAGACAGTGTGAGGTCTATCTTTTTAAAAGGTCAGTGAACTTATACTGTACTAAAGTATTTCACCAATGCCTCATCGTGGCACAGAGACTTAGACCAGGAGTGGGGAACCTGTGGCCTTGAGGCCACATGTGGCCCTTTAGGTCCTTGGGTGCAGCCTTCTGACTGGGTCCAAGTTTTATAGAACAAATCCTTTTATTAAGGGGATTTGTTTTGTGAAGTTTGGATTCCATCAAAGGGCCACACTTGAGGATCTAGACACCACATGTGGCCTCAGGGCTGCAGGTTCCCCACCCCTGACTTAGACTCTCAAAAGCAATGCCAGCTCTGTCGGGTCCTAGAAGGTTGGAAAAGCTTCAAGAGAGGTCAATTGGACAGTGTAGTTAATTGTGGACATGGAGTCAGGAAGACCAGAATTCAAATCTGGCCTCAGACACCTATTACTGTGTTACCCTATTGCCTCAGTTTCATTATCTATAATACTGGTATAATTATTATCTTACCTCCCAGAGTTATTGTGAGGATAAATTGAGATAACATTTGTAAAGTGCTTTGCAAACCTTAAAAGTACTATGTAAATGCTAGCTATTATTGTTATTACTTGTAAGTCTGGCAAAGGTCTACACGTGCTGATCAATCTAGCTAATAAGTTCAGAAAGGTTCATCATTAGGAGGCCAACCACTACAAAAACAAACAAACAAAAAAGAACTTCCCCCCCCCCCAGGAATTAGGAGGCCAACCACTACAAAACAAACAAACAAAAAAGAACTTCCCCCCCCCAGGAACTCATAAAGGTATGAAGAGGGCTGTAATCTACCTCAATGGAACAAATACTCACACTGATAAAGTAATTTACCCATTTAAAAAAAATATTGAAGTAAAATTATGCCCATAAAAGGTCAACTTTCTCTTTCAACTGACAAAAAAAAAAAAGCTGTGTTGCTACCCAACTGACCAATCTGGCAAATAAAAAAATAGGAAAACTCAGAATAACCACTAAGAAATAAAATAGTAACAATGAAGAGATTCACTTCCTAAATTTCCCCCATGCAAGGGGAAAAAAATGAAGAAGTATAACGGCAGTTACCCTGAAGCTAAAAGTACAGTTTCATGTGAAATTGTTTTCCTTTAAATGTGCTCCAGGGTGCTAATGTTTTCTATGCTCAGGTTAGCTTGTTTCTCAAGCTTGAAGTTCCCCACCGAAGCAAAATCACTTCTCACTCATCACACCTCTTTGTGCTATTTAACCTTGATTGAATTTTAGAAATGGAAAAACTTAGAAAAAGCAAATATCAAGCTCTCATGCTTTTTACATGCAATCGAGTATGCTAGTCACACTGACTGTGGCAGATTTCATAAGACAGTAGCTTAAAAACTTTAATCTAATGTCACACCATTAGTGCTATCATCATTTAATATTTAATAAACACTAAAGCAACATAAATTCACTTATCCAAGCAAAACATTTATCCCCAAAAATAAAGAAAACATAAAAATACCATACAAAGATAACAAGGCAAAATATAATTCTGAATGAGGGCCATAATTTAGTAGATTTCTTTTCCATATTGAAATACCCACAGCAGCCATGAAAAAAAGATACGGTTAAAGTATAATCAGAAGAAACACTTACTTGCACTGTGCATGAAAATATTTGATCAAGTTCTGAAGTAAATCAACTCCTTTTTTAATCTTGATTTCATTAACCTTTAGTAAGTACTGTTAAAAAAAAAAGAACAATTCACAAGAATAAGCAGGCAACTAAAAAGCAAACTGTATTAGTAATATAAGACCAACTAGAGTCTAATTTCCATAATGGTAGGAATCATGTCTTTTATTCATTTTTTATCTCCTCCAAATGTGAATCATGCAATTAGACCTAAATAAAATTTTCTTTTGTAATTTTAAATGAATTAATCAATTCTGTATCAGGACATTTAATTCAATTCAAACAGTCATTGAGTCCCTATACCATGTGCTATGAATTATGTGAAGGTACACTGAAGAAAGTTAAAGGCTGTGAGTGACTACACTAGAGATGCATGAGAGGATGCATGATACAGTTGAAACAGGATGGCTTTTAAGTCAGGAGAAGTGGGTACAATCCCAGCCTTGCTGCTTACTAGGTGTGTGGATCATGGGCAAAGCCACTTCTTTCTAAATAAAAATTTCCTCATGCAGAAAATGAGAATAACACTCGTACTACCTACCTCATAAGGTTATTGCAGAGAAAATGCTATGTAAATGTCAGCTAGGTGGCACACTGGAGAGTGCATTAGACTTGGAGTCAGGAAGACCTGAGTTCAAATCTTGCACTAGCTGTGTAACCCTTGGCAAGTCACTTAACTTCTCTCAGGTTTCCTCATCTGTAAAATGAGAATAATAAGAACATCCACCTCCCAAGATTGTTGTGAGGATCAAATGAGATAATATTTGTAGGCACTTTGCTACATAAATGGTAGCTATTATTATTATGTCACTGCTACAGAAGCATATGCTATTACGTATATTAAACACAGAATCAAAGCAGTGATTTGCAATCTTTGAGAACATGATATTTTATCGTAACCTATCTGATTCCATGACAGTCCTCTGCCCTTAGCAAACCAAAGAATTTTTGTTTAAATCACCTGAGTGAATTTTTAGGGAAAACATTGCAAAGGCTGCTTCAACAACCTGAGTCACTAGGGCTGTCAGAAAACAAAAACAAAAACAAAACACTAGGCTTGGGAATCAATGACCTAATCCAGCCAGGACAATAAAATGTCCATTCATTAAAACAAAAAGTAATCAAAACACTTTAATACTTTAAAAAAATATACACTTTAACTAAATAACTGTAACACCTTGTTTCCTCCTTTTTAATGCCTTTTCCATCTGACTCTTTATGTATTTTTTCTGTTGCTTTTTCATACATTCTCTAGTCAACATGCCTTCTATTGTTGTAATTCTGCTTTGTTTGCTTGGCATTATTTCACAAATATCTTCCTGAATTTCCATATATTCTTCATTTTCATCATTTTGAATGGGGCACTAATAATTCTTTATGTTGCTACACCACAATGTGTTGTCATTCCCAATCATTGTGCATACTTCCAGGTTTTCATTAACATAAAGCCTCCAGATATATTCATACACACACACACAACCTTTTTTCTCTTTAATAATATCCTTAGGTTATAATCTACATAGTGGAATCATGAGCTTCCTTTACCGGAGATCTCCTGAGAAAAAGTCTCTAAGACCAACCTGTAGGACCCACCTAATGTTTAATGACTCTGATGGTCAAGGAGTTCTTCACATCTTATTTCAACATAGAAGAGGCTAAAATGACTATCAGATTTGGAATAAGAGAAGGTAGGCTTAAATATTTGTTCCACTACTTAGTACTTGTTTAGTCCCTGAAGGGATACAATCAGCTAAGGCCCATTCCAACACTAAATCCTTGGATCCTAGACTGCTTAGGTATTGCATGCTTGCTACATATGGCATATATTATTATTATTAGAAGAAATGACACCTATATAGTGCTTTAAGGTTCACAAAGCACTTTACATACTTTTTTTTTTTGGTGAGGCAATCGGGGTTAAGTCACTTGCCCAGGGTCACACAGCTAGTAAGTGTCAAATGTCTGAGGCCAGATTTGAACTCTGGTCCTCCTGACTCCAAGGCCAGAGCTCTATCCACTGCACCACCTAGCTGCCCCCCAAAATCACTTCTCAAAGGCAACAACAGTGAAATATCAAAGCTATTATTCCTATTTCATTAAAAAAGAAACTGACATTCAGAGAGGTTCAATGTTTCGCACATGGCAGGAAAGCCTATGTTCAGCCATAAACATATCAATGTAAATTATTAATATTATTGTATTAATGTAACTGATTGTTACACTGCTAACTGTTGGTTAATTACTATTATTTGTTTTTATTTGTATTAATTATTGTTATTAATTATGTTATCATGTTACTATTACTGATAATGTTGATAGGTAGAGGAAGAAGAAAAATAACCAATTAAACTTATCTTTGGCTCTACTATCTATTAATTCACGTGGAGGGTGCTAACAAACTAGTAACTTCAGCACTAGTCAAGATTTAGATTTATAGATAGGTTTCATATGCTACTAAGAAGAAGAAAACAAAGGACTCCCTCTCTCCCCCTCCAAATTAAGCAGGCAACTTAAACTTAAGGAAAGTCATGTGGAACATCTTTAGCTAGAAATATGACCAAATCTGAAATATCTCAACACAGGTTGAAGAAGAGAGGGAGAATAACAGTGACTTTTGCATTTCTGTGCTTGTTTTCAAAAAGCTTTCAAACAAGCTTTAAAATGCATTTAATTAAAATGGGAAAAGAATTTCAGAGCTAAGCCTGAATGCCATCTTTTAGACATGAGTCTCTCTTTAAATTGGAGTTGAGTGTTTCACAGACACTGCCAAAATAATGCATACCTAACATGGAAAATTATTTCTACCCATAACATGTTCAATTACACATCATGTGGAACTACTTGGGAAGCTTATCAAGTAGTATGTACAGAATTTTTTAAAAAGTCTCTTTTCCAGCCTGGGACATAAGGCTCTGCACAAGCACAGGAACAAATGCACAAACACATTCCAAATTCACTACTTATGTAGCGCGTGCATGCGCATGCACACACACACACACACACACACACACACACACACACACACTCTCACACTCATATTTACTCTTTCTCCCTCCAACTGAACCTCATTTGATCTTATCAACACCCGGGGGTAGGCAGGGCAAGGGTTGTTACTCCCATTATACAGATGAGGAAAGTGAGGTTCAAAGAGACCCACTGACTTGCCAAAGATCACATATGTTGTGGAGCTGGGGCAAGAACCTGGTTTTCTAACTCCCAGTATGATACAATGCCTTTCATAAAAATGGGTTTTTGAACACCGGTCCAGACCATAAATCTTATTTGGCATAAAGAACTCTCACTGAGGAAACGCATTCTATCAATGCAGACTAGCAACAGTTCTGTAACTTCTAGTCTGAGAGAGGAGTCTGGGGGCACTTAAGGGGTCGTGTGACTTGCCCTGTATCACAAAGCCAGTATGTCAGAGGTGGGCCTTGAACCCAGGTCTTTCTTCATGACTTTGAGGCCAGTTCTCTAGCCACTACTCCATTGCTGCCTCTGGATAGTTGGTTAAATTAAAATATTAATTCTGACTGCATGCCAATACTGGCAATACACATTAATTTAGAAGTACATTGTGAACTCTATGTCAAATTACATACAAATGAAAATCTTGCAGAATAACACACATATATACACTCATAATTGTTTATATTGCATTTTTCAATTTGAGTTAGCCTCCACTGCTCACTTAGTGTTTGATCTAGGAATCAAAGATTTCTTGAAGTTAGACATATTGTTGAAGACAAAGGTACTACCAAAACCAAAGTCAACAGACATTCGAAAGGCAGAATATTAAATGACTTCTGGATTCCTTCCAGATAAGCAAGAGTTAATTGTATATAGTTGATTTTTGATGTCAGAAACCCATATTTGACATAAATTTAAGTTTAATTACTTCCTAGAGATTGTACACACTTCATCGAAATACAGGACACTTATATTACTAAGAAGAGCAAACACTGGGATAGACAGATGTGTTAACTTTTGTTTTTTCATATTTCTTCCCAAAAAAGACCCACAATTGAAGAATAAAAAAATAAAACCCACTGGCATCCAACATTTTAGAGTATTTATTCTGTGATATTCTTCCTTCACTAAGTATGAAAAAAGAAGAAGGCTCCTATAGTGTCCCTTCCCTCAAGACAGCAGAATGCATTAAAACAGAGAATAGGTTTGGAAAGGTAGCTAAGCTTCCTTGACCTCAATAAGTATAATTATTAGTGAGTAAGTGGAATCTATTTGAAAACACCTTTCAAATGACAGGCAGTTTGGCTTTTTAAAAATAGGACCCCATAAAATTTAAATAGGAACTCCATAGATCATAATATTCCCTTTCTCCCCTCAACTGGCTTCTCCATTTTGCAACTTGGCCCATAACCTGATGAGGTAGAGAGCACAGGGAAGGGTCAAACTCTTTGGGCATGACATCAGCCTCAAGACAAAAAGCTGTGTGAAAGGGCACTGAACAAGGTCTGTTATTTTATTAAAGTACTGGGGGTGAGGTGTGTATATGTGATGGAGTGGTGTTTGTGAGTCTGCATGTGTATGTATGTATACATAGCTAGCTTTTCCCTATTTTTGTTTCCTTTTCTTCATTCAATGAATGATCCAGTGTTAGACTATCCAGTCCCAAGCTACAGAAGACTTAGGTTCCCTTATTAAAATTAATGTGCTAAAGTCATTGGGAAAAATTGGATCCAATAACTATGTTGCCCTTGTGCCCAATAGTCCTCTTTAAAAAACAAAAACTAAGCTCCCTTGGAAAAGGACAAGTCTACCTGCAAGACTCCTAATGAGAGATAAAAGCAGATTTTCATTTGCTTCCCAGGCTCTTTACCAGCACTGGACATCTGTGCTTGTTCAGCATCTTACCTCGCACATTTGTAGCTGGAAGAACCTCCTTTCTTTCTCCATTTCTTCAGCAATTTCAGCTCCACTTATTTCAGTGCGAATCATCCCATGAAGCTTGGCATGTTCCTTTTTCTCCTTTTCTATTTTTGTCCTGGGGGAAAAACAGCAGCAATACATCAAGTTGCCTACTGACCTAAGGATTCAGAGCAGCCTACTTACAGGCCCCCCTACTTACTACACAGCCTGCAGAGACCAATATCATTCTTTAGCATGGCCTGTATAGCACTAATCTGTAGTCAAACGATCTGGGTTTGAATCTTAATTCTGCTATGCACGCCAAAGACTCTGGGCAAGTCAATTCACACACATACCTTCTCCCTCTGGATCCCAGGTTATCCCAGATTATCTGAAGACCAGATAATCTTTAACATTTTTTCTAGTTCTAAACCCTATGATCCTCAAAAAGCTTTATAATGCCTACTCAGTTCAACTTAATTCAACAGATATTTGTTGAGCAACTACTACGTGCAATGCACTTTGTCCTAAGTGTTACAAGGCTACATGTTGTATTATTGCTGCTCGTCTTTCATTCTCGAAGTGGGTCAATAGACATTCCTAGTGTGATATCCTGACTTCTGTGTGAATTAGATTTGAGTGAGGCAGAGCTGTACAAAGTCATCAGGCTACAAAGATGAATGAAACAAAATCCCTGCTCTCAAGAAGCTCGCCATGTCAACTGGGGAGACAAACCTAGACACAAATATAACTACAACAGGTAATATGTGCTATGGAAGAGGTATAGACAGAAAAGTTGTAGGACAGGTTCTGAACTTCTTGAAAGTCATTTCTCCATGTTGAATTAATTACCTGTGTTCTCCTAAAATAGAGGTAGCAAAACCTCAGTGTAGCTTTCTACCACTTTCCACTTTACTTTACACACACACACACACACACAGAAAGAAAGAGAGAGAGGGAGAGGGAGAGAGAGAGAGAAGAGAAAAGGTGGTACAGTGGATACAGTGCTGGGCCCAGAGTGATGAAGACTCATCTTCGTGCGTCCAAATCTGACCTTAGACATTTACTAGCTGTGTGACCCTGGGCAAGTCATTTAGCCATTTGCCTCAGTTCCTCATCTATAAAATGAACTGGAGAATGAAATGGCAAACCACACCAGTATCTTTGAAAAGAAGACCTCAAACAGGGTCACGAAAAATCGAACATGACTTAAAACAACTGAACCCCACCCACACCAAGACACACACACAAAATGTATCCTGTGCATACTAAACACTTAATGTTTCCTTACTTGAACTGAATAAAGAGAAAGAACCCTAGACTGTGAATCAGAATAATTAGGTCTTAGTCCTGATTCTGCAACTGATTCTCTATGTGACCTTAGCCAAATCACTTCACTTTTGCAGGGACTCAGTTCCCTACTTGGTCAAATGATAGAGTTGGACAGGATGCTCTCAAAGGCCTGTTCTAGCTTTAAGAATGTGGTTTCTTAGGCCCATCCTAAAATATTAACAATGCCAATCTGTCTTCTGGGACTTTATAACTGTCTAGGCCAGAGAGGAGAATATCTGACCCAGGGGCCCAATTTGGCCCTCATTTTGATTTCATTATGTCCATGGGGCTAATACTGCTCTGATCACTGCTGCTGCCACCCAGAGAATAATTTCTCCCTAGGGGGCTAATGTGGAATTGAGTTTTATGTTCCCTGTTCTTAATCTAAAAAGCACTTAAGTTGAATGTTTTCTTTTTATCCAAGGGAAAAATATACCCACAATGACTTACTTTTTCTTTTTTTACTTATAATTGACCTTTGATGGACTCTTTCGTTAAGCTAGTGACTCTCATCATAAGATTCCCTACTCTGTCCTAACAGCAGTAATAATGAACTAAATTTAGCCATATGGGATAGAAGCCAGGAGGATAACAGAGGTCAGCAACTTCCAGCATGTGCCAGCAGGTAGCATGCCAGGCCATCTGGTCTGCCTCCCTATTACCACAGCCATGACTTAACCAGTCAGCTACATTGCCAATCTCCTAGACTGCTGCTGTCGCTGCTACATTAGACTTTCCATCACTTTGTCTCCTCCCATCTGCCAATGCCTCCACTCAAGCAATAGTAACTCAACTAGGGCATAGGCAGAAGAGTACGAGGATGGAGCGCATGAAACAAGATGAAAGTCCTGTCGCTAGCAAAGGCTTGCATCTTGATGAAATGGAATGAGTAATGAACTGGAAGGACGGAGATCTGGGATGTACAACCCGTGTGACCTTAGACATGTCACTTGCTCTCCTGGGGCCTCAGTTTCTTTATCTACAAAATAACAGAGTTGGTTAAGATGATCTCTAAGGTTCCTTCAGACTATGATATATTATGCCTCTATAGACTAAAGTCATCGAACTAACTTCTCTCAATATGGCTGGGAATGGCCATATTGTCCCTGAATTTATCGAAACCCTTATTGAATGTCTATTTAAAGCTTTTTCAAGAAGGAGTTTCTTCTGTACAGAATTACCTTTCTTTATCCTAAAAGTCTCTTCTTAATTGGAGTACTTAATTACAATATCCTGGGATTCTCTGAACAATTCCAAACTCCCTTCATCTACTTCAAGACTTCAGAAGTTTCTATCGAATCAGTCTCTACCTCCTAGACTAGAGACCCAATCCTTTCAAGTTATTCCTGCATGGAAGCCATTCCAACCTATAGACTGCTTCCCACAAATAATTCTCTTTCTACTACAAGAGGCTGGGTAATGTGGTGGAAAGACTATAGGCCTGGCAGTCAGGAAAACTAGGTCCTACTACAGGTTTTGCTTTTTAACTTGTTAGAGAACTCTGGACAAATCACTTAAGCATTCTCCATCTCAGGATCCTTATTTGATAAAGCAGAGATAACAAGGCCAACCCTGTTTGACTATTGGGGTTATTTTAGGGATTTAATTCTATTTAGCAAACATGCATTAAGATGTGTAAGGTACTACTGTAGGCCCTGGAGGTACAAAGGACATAATATTTGGCCTGAAGAGCTTAAACTCTAATGGAGGAGGGATACAATAAGTACAGAAATAGAACAAAAGGCAAATGGCAATGCAGCCAGAGAAAAGTCAAAGTGCTATGAGAAATCTGAGGAATGAGAAAGTGAAAAGGGAGATAGGGAAAGGAGGAGGAGAATCAAGGGTAGAAAGAAGTGGGGGGAAGAGGAGAAAATACTTCTATCTGGGGGAGGGAGGAGAAAGAATCAGAGAAGGTTTCATGGAAAAGGTGACTCAAGTTGGGACTTGAACAAAAGGGAAATAACTAACAGACAGAGATGAAAGACAGATTATTCCAAGCATGGGAAACATTATGAGCTAAAGAATAGGGATAGGAAAGAAGCAGAACAGAATAGAGGACGGAAGATAGTCCCATCTGAACAGAACAAAAATATATGAAAGAAAAGATGGATGAACAAGTAATGCTGGAGACAGTAAGTGGAGGGCCTTGAGACCCTAAGTCACAAGTTTAAGTGTTATTTGGCAGGCAACGATGAGCTACTAAAGGTTTCTGAGGAGAGAAGTGCCACAATCACGACACTGTCTTAGGAACGTTACGCAAGCAGTCACGTGGAAGGCAGACTGGAGAGAAAGGCTTAAGGCAGCCCAGCAGCATAATGTCCTTTTGTCAATCAGTAAGCACACTGTCAAACACATCAGAAATCAGGTAGGTTGACTGTTATTGTATTTTCTGTTTTATTTTCAGGAAGAGGCTGTTGTGTGTAGATGCCCTGTTTGCTTTATCCCCATTAATGTCTCTCTACAATTTTTATCCATTGGCTCCTCAGACCTTCTCCCCATCTTCACCATTCTTTCTTCAGTGGGAAAAAAAGAAAAAAAAATCATGCAAAGTTCTGTATTTCTCAAATATTTTGTGACAATCATTATCGGAACCATTAAGCCTCACAGCTCTGTTACCTAGATACCACAGTGATCTGAATACAGCCCATGTTTTCTCTAAATCTAACTTGAACAAAACCTGAATGAAGCTTATAATGTCTCACTATTACTGAAAGACAATAAAAACATGAAGAGAGGAGTGATTATAAAAAGGACTGAAACACTTTTATTTAAAATGAAAGAAATATTTTAAAAATATTTTTAAATTTTAGCAATTTTGTGTGATTGTTTCCAATGTATACCTATATATTAACATCAATATTATAAAAATAAACATTTTTGAGGACGTCTATAAACTCATGAAGAATTAAATAAGCAGAACCAGGAGAACAACTTGTACAATAACAACAACACTGTCAAAACAACCAAATTTGAAAGCTGTAGGAACTATGATGAATACAATGATCATTCATGATTCCAGAGGACCAATGATGAAAGCAAGCTATTTGTTAAAGAGAAGTGCTGAATTTGGGGTATGGGATCTCTCTCCCTCTTTCTTTCTCTCTCTCACATACACACACAGATACTTGTGTATAGCCAATGGAGGAATTGGTTTTGCTTGACTATACATATGCTACAATAATTTTCTTAAATGTATTTTAAAATAAGAATGAAGAGCAAACAGGTTCATTAACTTTTTAAGAACAGAGAAGATAGGATGCTTAAGATGTGAAATGTTGCACGCACTTTCAGATGAGGTCAACAGATTATTAGTTTTACTTAACTTTTACTTTGTTACAAAAGACCTCTCAAAAAGCAGGAGTAATCTGTACATTTACATATTAAAAACAAATTATCAATGAAACTGAAGTGACAAAAAAGTATGTTTTCAGCAGTACAGTATATAATTGGTGACAATTTATTTTCATAAGCAGTTATATTAAAATCAATATATTAATAAGTCTCCCCATCTTAGAATGGTGAAAGCAGTACAGAAATTGTAAAGTGTTTTGAGTCAATAATAGTAGTTTCCACTTGGTGTGGGGGATGGGGAGCAGGTAAGTTCCAAAATCAAATAGTTCACTTAAAAGTCTAGGACAAAACATAGATAGAGAAATGTATTTGCATTCAGTAAAGTCACCAAGATCTAACTGGAAAGAACCTGAAAAAACATCCACTGGTATTTCTAGAATCAGATTCACAAGTGCCATAAAAATCCACCTTCTCTAAGCCAGACCAGAACCAAAAAATCTGCAATACTTTTGACAAGTGGCTAGTCAGTCTTTGCTTGAAGTCGTCTGGTGAGAGAGAACTCATTATTTCCTATATCTGTCCCTTCTTTTTTTTTTGATGGCCCTATTGTTAAAAAGTTTTTCCTTACCTCAAGCCTAAATACACCTTTATGCCACATCTAGACACTGCCTCTAGTTATGGCCAACACAAGTCTCATTCCTTATTCATATGACAGTCTCTCAAATACTTGAAGACAGTTGTTTTGCTCTACCCCCTCCCCAAGCCTTCTTTCTCCAGACTCAATATCCCCAGTTCCTCAGACACTTACTAGCTATATGACTGTAGGCAAATATTTCACTTCAATGAGATTGTTTCCTCATCTATAAAATGGAGACAATAATAGCATCTACCTTTCAGGCTGATATGAGGGTAAAATGAGATAATATTTGTAAAGTGTTCTGCAAACTTTAAAGTGCTATATAAATGCTATCATTATTATCATTGCTATTATTCAACTGATATTGTCATAATCTCAAGACTCACTGCCATCCTAGCCACTTGTTACATATTACATCTGATCAATGTTCTTCCTAAATTATGGCCCCAAGAGCTAATCATAACACTCCCAAAGAAATTGTTTTAGTCATATCTGACACTTCATGACTTCATTGGTGCTTTCTTGCCTGGCGTGGTTCGCCATTTCCTTCTCCAGCTAATTTTACAGATGAGGAACTGAGGTAAACAGGGTTAAGTGACTTGCCCAGAGTCACATAGCTAATAAGTGTCTGAGGCCAGATTTGAACTCACAAAGAGAAGTCTTCCTGACTTCAGGTCTGGCACTCTCTACACTACGCCACCTACTTGCCCCTAGTACTCCCAAACTACAGATGGACTATTTTTTCACCTAGTCCCGGACTCTACTATGTTATCTCTTTAATGTAGGCTGAGAATGCATTGGTTTTCTTGGCTTCCAAACACTACTGCTAATTCTCTGAGCTTCAGTCCACTAAAAACCCTTGATTTTTTCAGATGAAATGATGTCTATTCATATATGTGTCCTCCTCTCCATCAACCTATACCTATAAAGTTGACTTTGTTGAACCTAAGTTTAAGATTTTGTAAATTTTATCTAACTCGATTCAACTTGACATTTTAGTATTCTGGGCACTGCTTTGGGTCTTGACTTTTTCACCCAACAAGTTAGTTATTATCTTCCCAACTTCATATCATCTGAAAAATTAAGTAACATTCAGTATATGCCTTTATCCAATTCACTAATTAAAATCCAACTCCTCATTTACAGGTGTAAAAACTGCTGCACTGAGGTGAAGAAATGTTTGCCCAAGAACAAAAACATGCACCCATATCTTCTACCTCCCATGTCCACGCTTGCTGGACTACCCCACACCTACTCACTTCTGCTGCTTCCATTCAAACTAGGTGGTTGTTCAAATTCTCTCAGACCTCTCCAGAGAAAATGATGGTGCAAAAGACATACATAAAGCAGAAAGAGTGAATACAACTTTCAGAAACCACTCAGGGCCCCTGGGAAAATAGAAAACCCTGCCATTGTGAATGATAAAATGGATAAAGCATCTTTAAACAAAACCATACCAACGATTTTAACTGAGAGTTAATTAACTTTCTGAAAGCAATTTTCTTCAATAATTTATAATGAAAGGATAGAGAACATAAATATGTATTTACAATGCTAATTTTTTTTAATTGAAAGTCATAGGATTGTAGGAGTTTGGCAGAAAGCTTTGATTATTTAGTCCAATGTCCTCATTTTACAGAGGAAGAAACTGAGGCCCAAAGTAGAAAAGTGACTTATCCATAGTCATACAGGAATAGGTGGAAACAGAATTTGAACCCAAACCTTAAATTCAAACTACTCAAGTATCTGACATCACAAAGCATAACCACAGCAATATGGATACTTTCCTCTGTGGACTAACCGCTCTCTAAAATCCCTTTGAGAACTACAGCTCAGTTTTAATCTAGAAACTAAACTCTGCATTTATTTCTAAAAGGGAAAAACACTTACACTTTTGTTTCATAGTCCTTCCAAGCTTTGTCAAAAGGCTTTTTCAGATCCTGTAAACATAGAGCACAAATTAGACATGGCTAAGAATTAACTACCAAGTAATCCCACTTATCACAGTTATATACTTTAAGAGATTATTAATTATCATGATTAGGCTATATGAGATTCCATAAACTACAATGAATCTACCTAAAGTACATGTTCTTAAGTAGATAAGAGCTGGTACTGTTAACAAAGGGGCTACTCCTCTCTCTAAAGAAATGACCCAGCATCCTTTTGAATATATGCATATATACATACACACACACACATATATATATATATGTATGTATGTATGTATGTGTGTGTGTACACACACACACACACACACACACATAAAATTTATTCATCTACATATCATTCTAAATTGAACCATTTAACTTTCAGAAAGTTAACTAAATGAATTATCAGTTCAAACCACTACCATGATTTGTTTGTCCTTCTATCTGTCTATCTATCTATCTTTGCATATGAAGAGTCTACAAAGAGGATGTACGTGATAGACACAGACTCTAGACTAAGAAGTGGCTCTAAGTATAGAATGATTCACTCAAAACAGGAAACAGTAATTATCTGCGTTTGCTCACTGCATCCTTCTCTGACTAGGAAAAAAATTACTCGAAGGTTAACCTGTCCACTAAATGATCCCAACAGTCTTGTCTGTGCCTCCTGAGTGGGAGCCTACACCATTATTTCTCAAAGATCTGAGGTGAGGTGAGTGGTAAAGAACACAGTGAAACACCTGGCTCTGAGGTCTTCACAACTGACTGCATTTGCATGATTGAGAGCAGTGCCTTTAACTTTATTCTGATCAGGTGCCGCTAAAGAGTGGGCAATCCCTAAAATAAATAAAGCTATATTATTTTCTTTCTTGCTAGGTCTCCTTTTGACTGAATTCAATCTTTTTTGCATAAACAATTTATCCATGCTTTCTCAACCTGATATAACCCTGATCCTTACCCATTTGCATAGTCTAAAAACCATTCAGAGCTTGGTGTTTAAAATCAACAAGTCAAAACCAGAAAATTTTCAGCTCAAGGACATATATAATTTGGAAGATTTTTAAATTAAACCAGTTTATGCCTCAAAAATGCAGTTTTTTCAAGACTGCATCACTATGTGGGAATCACATTCTTCTTGTAACAGATGAGCAGCACACAAACCAGGAAAATTACTATTTGACAGCAGTTCTCCCTGATGGACGTTAGTCAGTGCCATATGCAGGAATGGTATAATAATGAGATTCCAGAAATAGTTATAGAACATATAAAAATGTGGTGAGGAGGTCATTTCTTTTTCCCTGACTCAATTGGCTGGCTGAGCAGACAATCAGGTTTTAATTGTTTGTTGGCTAGCTTGAAGCTGAATGACAATTCTACCAACCAATGAATACAAATATTCTAGTCCATTAGGATGCTAGATGTGCCCATCTCCTTCTCTTCTTTCTCCTTTCTTCTTATTCTACCCATTTCCTCCCCCGTCCCCAATTCAAAGCAAGAAGAAAGTCCTACTTAGCTGGCTCAGATGTCAGACTACAGCTATGGAAATGCCCAGGGTAATAGCAGACATTACCAAATCCCAAAGGTCCCAAGTGTGGTTATGTCTCCAAAATCCTTACTGAAGCTATTTATTACTTTCTATAAACACATCATCCTCTCCTCTGCTAGTACCCATTGTATGTTTATACATGTCAGGCTGAAACTATAAAGACCAAGAGTGCCCATTCTTTTGACTCATGATGCCAATAAGATAGCAAATAAAAGCAAATGTGGAGAACAGATGGCCATCTTGTCTCTCCCATTCTCCACCACCCCCCATATTAAAAACATAATGAATATATGAGCTGACTGCCTTGGTAGGTTAATATTATCCTTACTGCTAGATCATATGGAAAAAAGTACTATTTAACGATTAAAAATATAAAGTTATCATACCCCCTTTACTCCTTTCAGGTCTCCTTTCAGCAAACTGTCCAAAGGGAAAGAAATTATGTTGTTCATATTCTGAATCTAAAAAATAAATAAACATAAGTTAATCTCATTCACCGTCCTTTTCAAAGAGGAAAGGAGGGAATATAATAAAAGTATCACATAGTACATAGATCATCTTCAAGGACTTAAAGATCATTAGGTGATAAAAAAAAACTTGTATTCAAAACCTGACAAAAAAGATTATATGAATTCTGAACTCTTTTGTATGGTTATCCTATCAACGGTCATTTATGTGTTATTTCTAATAGAGAATGGTCAGCACTCCAATGGCTCATCAGTAATAATCATTAACTATCATAAACTTTAAAATTTCACTCTGAAGGATCTTCCTGCTAATGCTGCATTCTACTAATCTTCAAATAAAGCAGTGACAGAAAAACTGTTAACATGACAGAAATTATTAAAACACTAAATGTAAGGATACTTGCCACTCCCTTAAATGATCCTAGCAATGTCAGTTTTAGTAATGTCCTTAACATTCCTATTCTTAAGATATTTACTCTTCTTCAGGTTGGGCTGAACCACACCCTAAATCCCTCCCCTGCCCCACACACCCAGAGATTTTTCCTTGTAAAGAAATTTAGCTCAAGCTGGATCTCAGCTTCTAAAGTCTTTGCTTCCTTTTGTTGGGATTCTGGACAGAGGGGCAAAACAGCCAGAATAAAGTGGTTTTCCTTGCCCAGATTGCCAAGGGCCACTGGGGTCCCATGACCTGGCCGTGTCACCTCATATTACTGCCTCCCTGACCCCTCCTAAAAGTACAAAAAAACCCCTCTTTTCATAGGTCTCTAGGTTGGGAAATCCATTGTGCTCTGTACTCGTGGGACATCCCCTAGGGTGATGTTACCCTGTTATCTCAATTAAAGACACTTTATTCCTCAACTCATGACTTTATTTTGGACCTTTGACAGCAGGATACTTCTCGAAATGGTTTGGCTGCCAATGATAAACACTCCGGTACAATGGAAAGAACACTGGATTTAATAATCAGAAGACTTGGGTTGGAGCGACTTAAACCTTTCTGAGATCATAGATGCTGCTAGATGCTGAGTTCTAAAACAGATATCTCAAAAATAACCCAAGGAAGAACCACCTTAAGAGGGGTTAGAAAAAAATGTGGTGTTTTTTTTTTTTAAGAATAATCATCACTTATTACTTCTGCGTTCAAACACATGGTGAAAGGGAAAAGCAATGGAACTTGAAAGTCAGAACAACTGGCTGACCTATTTGGGTCACTTACTAGCTATGTGACCACTGGGTAGGTCTTTAATTTCTGGACAGCGAATTTTCTAATCTAAAAAATAAGGGGATTAGTTTAAATTGGGTCTGTAGACATATTCTAGGAGTTAAAAAAAGTTACATTTTTTTTTAAAGTGAGGCAATCGGGGTTAAGTGACTTGCCCAAGGTCACACAGCTAGTAAGTGTCAAGTGTTTGGTCTGAGATCGCATTTGAACTCAGGTCCTCCTGACTTCAGGGCTGGTGCTCCATCTACTGTGCCACCTAGCTGCCCCCCATCTTTATTTTCATTAACCAACAGACAAACTTTTGTTTTTACATTTACTTCAATCATGGGGAGAGGGAAATATTCTTCTGAAAAGGCATCCAGGGGTTTCACTAGAGAGGCAAAGGGGTCTATCTCACACACACACACACACACACACACACACACACACACACACACACACACACAATCAATCATACTAGAATCCTTCCAGTTCTAACATTTTATGATTCTACAATTCATATGCGTGGAGTAAGTAAAGGTAGGCTACTAGAAGGTAAAAAGTAAGTGAAAAGTCCTGCCCCATTCTCTCTACTAACAGGGAGGTGACTGCCATGACCAAAGTGTCCTGGCAGAGCACTCACTCATATCTGGCCTAGAGGCTGGTTCCACTAACTGCTCTAACTTTGACCCGGTAACCTTGCAAAGCCTCAGCTAAAGAAGATTGCAAAGCCAGTTATCTGCATCCTGCCATTAGAATGTAGCATCAATCTTTATATTTCTATTTCCAGCCACGGCATACAGTATGTGTTTAATAAATACTTGTTGAATGATTGCTCAATTCTCAACCTTTCTAATTTATAGCATCTGTTTCCATTTCTACTCATGTTCAAAGTCTCTATTCTATTTTTAACATTATTTTTTAACAAACATTTTATTGGTGTTTTCCCTTTCTTACATCACTGTCACTTTCCAATGACTCATTTTCCTCTTTCCCACTTTCCAGAAGAAGCCTCCTTCTAACTAAGGACAACTAAGCAAAACGAACTACCAAATTGGCTATTTCTGACAGCATTTCCACAGTTATCATAGTTCATGACTTCTAGACAAAGAAGAGGGAAAAAAGTTTATCAATCTCTCAATAAACAAACAAGTTTGGAAAGGTTCCAGAATCTCAAGGGTGAATTAGCAGAAAGGTCAAAGTGCCATTTCTGCATTACAATTTGCATTGTAAACTATGGTGGAAGAATCTCGCAAACCTGCTGTCCCAAGGTCCTCTCACTAATTCCTAAGCTTCCCCACCAAGTTTCATCTCTAGGTGAAATCCCTTAATAGACAGATTTTCTAACATCACCATAATTCAATTCATTTCCTTCTGTGTTTTAAGAACTTACTAAGAGCAAGGCACTTTGCTTGAAACTGGACCTGCGAAGCAAAAGGTATATATATATGTAACTCCTAGGTGAGAAAACACCTAGTACAAGTAGGTAGGTACATTTTCTGCAGTTTTTAGTTTTCAAGTTACTAGAATACTGGGAGACTGAGGGACTGTCCCATGGCTACACAGCCAGTATCTCTCAGGGGCAGTCCTTGAACTGAAGTTTTACTGGCTCCAAGGCCAGCTAGCCACTAAGCCACAAATTCTTAGCCTCGGACACATGCAAAATTTTTTTGATAATTGCATGTATTAATAACTAGCATATATATTACATATGTTACACATATAAACATATCACTTTAAGGCTTGCAAAGCACTTTACAAAAGTATTGTTTCATTCTATCCTTATGATGACCCTGCTATTATTATCCTCATTTTGCAGACGAGGAAACTGAGTTAGGCAGCAGCTAGGTGACTTGTCCAGGGTCACAAAGCTTCTAAGTGTCTGAGGCTGTATTTAAACTCAGGTATTCCTGGTTTCAAGTCCAGTAGCTCTAGCTACTGGGCAAACTAGCTGCCTAGATTGGTTTTCCTTTGTAATCCTATGTATTTTATTTTGTGCATTTAAAAACATTATTCTGAAAAGGGATCCAACATGTGCTTCACCAGACTGCCAAAGGGGTTCATGACACTCAAAAGAACCCCTACACTAAGTTATGCGGCCTCTAGAGAGACAAAGGGAAAAACTGCAATTGTCCCATGTAGGAGGGTAGGAAATAGCACATGCACATATAAGTCAACTGGGGGGGAAAAAAAGTAAGGGGCTGGGAAAGGGGGTAAATGAGAGAGGCTAACTGTGGAGACTTGGGAAGGTCTATTCTAAGAGTTAGCATTTAAGCTGAATCTTGGTGGAAGCCAAGAGGAAGAGGTGAAGAGGGAGAATACTTCAGATGTAAGGGAGGCACTGGTTTTACAGAGGGCAACAAATGGGAGGGTTGCGGTTGAGAAAGAGAAAATGGTGCAAGGCCAGCAGTATATTTATGCTACTCTAAACACATATATACTGGAAAATTAAAATGATAATCTGATTTAAAAGTAAAAACTTCCAATAACTTGCCCCTCTCTATGGAGTAACTTTAAAATGAGAATTCTGCAATACTTACACAATTTTACATTAAAAAAAAAAGTAAAACATTTTAAAGACATTTCAACCATAGTACCTTGAATGAGATATTCAAGATAATTGAATACCCCCACCATATGACCCATTATGGTAAAATTTGAAAATACATTTAAAAATTGATTCATATAAATTCCTCAGCAAATTACTTTTCAAAGTGGAGGCAGTCTGCTGGAAAATATAGAAAAAGTGTATAATGATACACAAACAGCCAGTGTTGCCAAATGAATGCTCACATGAGTACCATTTAAAAAATGATACTTGGGACAATCTCTGCCCTAGACTTACACTACTCAACATTTATCATGCCCCTAAAATGCCTGCAGGGTAGTCTATATCCTCTGTGACTCAAGAGAAATAACCTTAAACATTTAAATATGGATACTCACCTTAAAGGAACTGGTGAACAGATTAAAGGCAGATAAATATTAAAAGTCTGCTGAATTTGCAAATGTAACTGGTCTTTCCTGGTCGAGAGACTTAAGGAGAGAGGACTGATTCTTGGACAATGACTTAAGCCCCTAACCTCTACCCATATCCTTTCACCTCCAGTAAAAGGGCTTGTAGGGAGGTATACCTTGGACCCCAAGAATCTGCCACAAAGGCAGATTACACTAAGATGGCAGATATACCTTAATTTCATTTAGAAAAATTGGCAGAAATAATAGTGACAGAAATTTAGATTTACTTATTCATGGCATTTACAGTACCCATTCTAGACTTATTAAGCCACATTCCACCAGGCTTAATTCAATGCTTGTAAAACATTTAAGAGTGTCTGTGAATCACACAGTCTCTGAATGGGAAGGGTCCTCAGAGACTAACCGGTCCAAACTGTACCTGACCAAGAACCCCTGTACAGCATCTTCAACAAGTGGTCATCCAGCTCTTAAACAGGAAAACCTGCTACCTCCCCTGGATAGATGTAATTATAAACAAGTAGTGCTTTATTATGGCGGGCCTAAATCTGCCTTTCTGAAACTTTTACCCATTGGTCCAATACCTCTTTCCCATGGAGGCCTATCATATAACTGAAGACAACCATCACATCCCAGCCCAAGTCTTTCTTCTCTAAGCTAAATAAATAGCTCCCACTTCTTCCTTCAATCCTGGCATGGAGAACAGTCTCTGTGGTCTTTCTGCCACCTTGATTTAGGTTCTAGTTTGTCTGTGTCCTTCCTACCAGGTGGTGGTGTTGTGGTCTGACAGGTTGAGACCTCTCAAAGACCAGAGTAC